GAAGCGATGGCCTCAGTGGGGCTCAGTCAGCCTCCTCCCCTCAACCCAGCTGCTGCCCTGCTGACCCCCACCAGTCCCAGAGGCAAGCCAAGATGGACAAGAATGGGAAACAGGGAAATACATGGTTCCAGCACCTGAACTTCCGTGCCTGTCTCTGCCTGCAGAGGTGGCAGCTGTGGCCCTCATCCTCACCTGTCAGAGGGAGCTTATGGAGCCGATCTGACGGCCTCCATGTGTGGTGGGTGGGGGGAACAATGAGCGCTCTCCAGGCTGAGGACCAGGGCACCACAAAGGACCATAGCGTTTCATTAACCCCTCATCACCCTCCCCTCACGTGAGTTGGACACCAGCTGCCTCCCTGATTGTTTAAAGGCGCTGCCCCTGCTGGGAATTGGAGCATTTTCTAGGGCCAGGACCCTGTTTCAAAGGAATCAGGCAGTAGATAGCAATGGTGCTCTGTGGAAAGAGAAGTTTATTTTTATTTTTTCAGACAGGGGTCCTCTGCATCCCCTGTATGCCCATCTCCAGAAGCCAGCCCCCTCCTTCCTCCTGGAGCAGCCAGCCTGCTGGGCCTCTCATTGATCCAACCTACTACATCCTGAGCAAGACTAATCGGCTCCCCAGGTCCCTCTCAGCCTCAGCCTTGGCAGCAGACCTGCTGCTGAGCCTGAGTCCCATGGTGGGTCAGGGGGTGGGGGTGAGAGGTGCTGGAAGAATGGGGATTTTAACCCCTGGTGGCCACTGCCCTGGTAAATCCCTTGGTTCTGTTGAACAGAGATGAGAGTGACAGTTGGAAAAGGTCAAACTGCACTGAGATTCCTTATATTCTTACTACAGCTAAACAATGCTCTCTTCTACAAATCCCTTCCTCTGTCTTCAATTAAAAAAATATCCTCTGCTAATTCACAGAATTAGAGAATCTCTGGGCCAGAAAGACATCAGTGTTTTTCTAATTCAACTTTCCACCCACTGGTTTAATTTCCTCTACAACAATACTCAAGAGGGGCGTCAGTCTCTACTTGACTTCCTCCAGTGACGGGGACCTCACTACTACCTGTGCAGTCCACTGCATCTTTAATGGCTCTAACAGAAGGTGCTTTTCAATGTGGAGTTGAAGTCTGCTTCATTGTTCCTGGGTTTTGTTCTTGTGGCTGCCAAGGACATGTCTACCTTGGGACTGTCCTTCCCAGGGTCCTCGGGCCAGCAGCCCTTCTTTCAGCTCTACCCTAATGACTTGGTGACACCTGGCACTGCTGTTCCCCTGCTTGGTTGGGATGCAGTCTTTGTGCTCCCCCAGGGCTCTAGGACAGTGCAGTCCAGGCAAGCACTGTGCCCTCTGCACGTGCTGCAGGTGCGCAGAGATGTTCCAGACTGAAAGGAAAGGATTCAGGCAGCAGTCACACACCAGTGATACACACCCAGGTCTGCAGAAGGCTCTGGGTTTGTGATGGTTCGACTTAGTCATTCCACTTTTTCATGGTGCAAGAATGAGGCACATTCAGTAGACTACAGACCTGGAGTTTTGCGTTTCTCTCTCTTCCGGGACTGGTGACATGCAGTTCCATACTCTCTGTGATACTGAGTCACAGCCCGGACAGTCACATGCTCATAAGAGGAAATGGCCTATACCCTATGGCATGCTCTGAGGGGCAGTAGGTCAGGTGTGCTAAGTGCATCTTCAGTTTACAGTATTTTCAACCCATACGGAGTTTATTGGGACATAACCCCATTGTAAATTGAGATACATCTGTATGTTACCAGTTATTTTATATGGTTTATAACCAAAGGCTGTATTTGGGGGGTTGGATAATAAATCCTGGAAGTGTTAGAGAAGTGAGTAGTGGGTAAAGACTGGAGAAGGGAGAGAAGCTTTCAGGGAGGAGATGCAGTTGGGAGTGAATGTGAGATGGAATGTGTTGAGCCCTTCTGGTGGTAGGTGCCCTCAACACCCCTTCAGTAACCCGGCAATGCGATCGTGCTAACTTCACAGTCGTCCTCTGTGGACATGGAGGTGCTGAGTTGCCACGCTGCCTGCCTGGCAATGCTGGAGTTGCGTTCATATCCTGATATTGTGCTTTTTTGTGTTGTACAAAGAAAGAGGTTGGGAAAGGGGCTGGCTCCCAGATAGGTGGTTCTGGCCGAGCCGCATGCCTCTCCCAGACCTGGTTGCTGTTCTCTCCTGCTTTGTCCTTGCTTTGCCTATTGGACATCACAGTGCTGGATGGGATGGAAGACTACATTGTTCTCATTTAAAGGGCTTCAGAGCACCCCAAGGAGGTAGTGGGCCGGCAACTGACTAGAGCAGAGTCTCTTAGGGCATCAGATGTTGGGCTCCCTGGGCTGCTTCTGCCTATCCTTACCGTACTGTGCATAATCATGCCATCCTCCCATGGGCTTCCTTGAGTGGCCCAACTGAATTCACTGCCAGTTTGAAGAATCCCAGGGGGTTTGGCCTTTCCTAGCTAGGGTTCAGAGATTCTCCATACTACACGCCAGGACTCTTGGGGCTCACTGCAGCACCCTCCCTTCCTTACTCTTTCTAGGCGTGGTGCTGCCTCAACCGCAGCATGCCCAGGAGATGGCAGGGGCCCCAGGAGCACGACCTCTGTGGCCTCCCCTGGCATCCAGTGTCTTTGAGATCAGGCCCCCAGACCTTTGTCCAAGCAGGAGTTTGCTTTTGGCCTCATCTCTGAGGGAGGAACAGTGAATACTCTACTTACTATAAGACAAAATGAGACCACATAGTAGAAAACCAAATATGTCAGTCTTCCAGATAAAATAGGAATAGGATTTGAACTTTGCTGTGCATTCAGCAGTGTATCTAAGTTCTCCAAGCTCCTGAGGGCAGGGACTGAACCTGGTCCATATACTCTGTCCACTGCTTGGCCTTGGGCTGAGCAGACACTTCAGAAGGCTGTCTCTGTAGGCCTGCCGTTGAGCCCCTAGGGGGATAAGTAAACACAGGACTGATGACGTGGAGACAGCCTGAACCAATTCCCAGCATGTTTCCCATGGCCTCTTGAGGATCTCACCCTCACATACCCACTTCACAGATGAAAAATGGAGCCTCAGAGTGGTTAGACAGGCTCACAAGATCGTGTAGTCTGTGCAGGCTGGCTCACTCTGAGCTTGAATCCAGATCTTCTGGGTCAGGGTTGAGAAGAAGTCCCTGAGGTGTCAGGGCCACTGGAGATGGAGTCCTGTGGGGAGGGCCTTAGGGGCAAAGACAGAGGTGAGCATTGCAAGTGTCTGCAGAAGTACTGATGAGGACAGAGGAAAGGTCAGCTCCGTGTCCTAGCTTGCACAGCTGGGTCTTTCTGCAGCCTCTGTGAAGAACAGGCCCACCTGGGGCTCCTTTCCTCCCTGCCACAACTGCCAGCTCCCTGAAAGCTTTCTCAAGACAGTGCAGAAGGTCAGGGTTCCTTCCTGTCTCACCATGACAGGCCCTTGCTCTTCAGTGCCGGGTCCTTCTTCTTTTCAAAACAAAACACAAGAGCAGCCAAGCCCTCTGCACATGGCCTTTCCTTACCTAGGTCCCCAGACACATGCCACTGGGTCTCTCCAGTCACTAAGCCTGTTGCCCCTACTCAGGTGGCCCCTGGAGACAACATCCTGGAAAGAGTTGAGCTGAGATCAGAAAATGTGAATTTTGGTCCCAGCTGTGTCCTTGTGTCTGGGTAGCTGGGCAAGTCGAGTCATCTCTGTATTCTGAGAAGGCAGGTGAATGGATTTCAGTACCCATCTTGGTCATCTTTTGGTCTTTGAGAATCAGAAGCATGCAGAGATCATCTTTGGGGTTCTGTTCAAGACATCTTTGAACTGGGGCTCTTCCTGCCCAGTACATAGGTAGGCAGCCTGGGACCTCTGGATGGGTGGAAACCAACCTTTGCCCTACCATCCTCAGGAGGTTCGGTGAGTGGCTTACCACCCGGGCTCCCATGCTCCTCCTAGTTCTGAGGCCTTTGCAGGATTTGTGAAGATTGACATGAGATGAGCTGTATAGAACTCTTAGCCCATTCGCCGGGACAGAACAAGCGTTTGGTAAATGTTACTGATGTGACTACTGCTCTGGGAGGAAATGCCTAGCAGTGTCCTTTCCTCAGAGTTGAGGCCATTGCCTTCCGGAAGGTGACCCTTCAGATACATGCTCCAGCACATGCGCACACACACATGCATACAACCTCCCCAGCTTGCCCTGCTACAACCAAGGTCGCGTGAAGACCCTCATGTCTGATGGCATCTCCTCCCACCTCAGCTTCCAGGCAGCAAGTAACTGGGGGTAGAGGAGGGGACAGAGAGGGTGCTTAGCATTCTGCAGGGTCTCCTGTTTTCACTCATTTCTGGTCCGAGTCCTCTCTGCTGGAATGTAGCTGAAAGCTTGTTCTCATAATCTTAACAATACTTCATCTTAATGCAGCCATGAGGCTCTCAGGAGTTCAGAGGTTTACTGGGCCTCTGTTCTGAGCTTTGGGATCTTGAGCGCCCTCCTCCCTCACCTCTCAGATGAAGACAGAGACTTTCCTAGAGCCGATGGGACATTCCATGGATGCCTAGTCATTGGTATGCTGCCTCACTGAAAGTTCACTCCTCCCTGAGAGCTGTTGCTGTTGGAGTCCCTAGTTAGATGGGGACGCTAAGACCACCTGCAAAGGTCAGGGAAACAGGGGAAGAAACCTGGACCTGGTGGTCAGTGAGCCCAGTTCTTTGCCTCTGGGTATGCTGTGGCAACAGTCTCACCTCAGCAGGGGGCCTCAAGCTCTTCTTTAAAAGGGAACTCCCTAGGGAACCAGGGGGGTAAGGATAGGGCCTCTTGAGCCTTCTTTTCAGTGTACTGGGATAACTGAAATCCCAGGGCACAGGAAACCTGTTCAGATTATGTCTTGGCTCCTCAGCACCGCCTCAGACCCCAGGACCAGCCCGGTGGCTGTGCATCCTGTTTGGTCCCACCTCCTGTCCAGGCAGTACTGACCTCAGACACGCCCTCCTCTCGCCCTCTCCAGGCCTTTTAAACCTAGAGAAGCTGCTCCGGCAATTCCTGATCTCCAAGGACACACTCTCTGTCAGGATGCTGGATGATACCCGGGACCCAACCCCCCTCCTCAAGGAGATCCGGGACGACAAGACAGCCACCATCATCATCCATGCCAACGCCTCCATGTCCCACACTATTCTCCTGAAGGTAGGGGCCAGGTGCGGCCTGGGAAGGGGAGGGGTGTGGTGGGCGTGGAGCATCTTCTCCCCTCCCTCCTTGCCTCAGGCATCTCTGAGCCAGTCTGTCCTCAACCCTGAGCAAGATTTCAATGCTGACTAACCTCCCCCTGTGTTCCTAGTGGTGTTTGCTTGCTTGATGCCATTCAAGTAGCTGCTTATATTTCTTTTTTTAAAATTTTTTAATTTTTAATTTTTTTATTTTTTTCATAATGTCATTGATAAACAGATAACAATGAGACAGTTTCAAATCAAATCGGTAGGACAGTTTCAATAACCAACACACTGCATATATTCTTCTTAGTTGGATAAGAAGAATTGCTGTACAAGATGCGGACCTGAGATCCTATTTACAAACACCATTAGAACAAATCATTCTATTCATTAAGAGAATGTAACTATATATCTATCCCAACCACTT